TTCCATATGACCGAAACAAGAGCCAGTCTTTAAAATAAATTATAATAATATATGACTGTATTTATCTACAGAAATAAACTATAACACTCATTTTTTTCTGCTTTCGTCGCTTTTTTCTGATTTTGTGACCATCGACTCTTTTAATAAATAGTTGGGGTTTGAACTGATATCCTCTCGATATAACAACCCTTTGTCTTCCAGGAATTATCAATAGCTGAAAACCGTCGGTGTGGCTGTAACTGCTCTCTATTTCAGTCATTAACAATATCTGTTTTCCTTTATTTGTGTCACTTCCGATTTTCGGAAAATCAGTGTTAAACTTGGAATGTGTTTAATTAGCTTTATAACATTATATATATGTAAAATTGTCCTTTAAAGACTTGCGTCTGTCAGTCAAGTTGGGGTGTAAAACTGATTTGTTTTGGAATGGTTCTGCCCCGACTTAACTAATGAAGACCGACATACGCAATAAAGTGTGCTATGGGGCAAATTGGAACTCCGGATTAGCGAGCCAACGTCTTACTCCGTGAGCCACCGTGGTCCCCTATTTGTTTTGGATTACCAAACAGATGTGCAGGGTTATAGCGTCGGATGTATGGAGGGGATGTAAGAAGATATTGTACTTAGTTTTTCTGACTCAAGCCTAGCAGGCAAAAAACGTTAAACTACCATAGATCAGAGAAAGATTCAGTTGATTTATACTATGTTTGAAATATAAGACCATATCATGTAAAAAGAAAATGTACTCACAGAATAACATTAACAGCTAAAATGGTACCAAAATTACACAATATAAGATAAAATAATTAAAACAAATTTGCTTACATTTTAGCTATAGAAAATTGATTCTCTTCTTCAATAATCATGACGTTATAAGAAGTATCCCTCTACATATTAATGTGACCCCAAAAATGAGAAGAGTTTTTATGAAAATGTTTAGAATGTTGTCAGCAAACATTCATAAAGCACAATAAACTAACCCTTTTTTGCACGAAATGTGTACACTACATAATGTTCTATACAATGTATAACTATTTTTAGCTATCGGAAATTTTACAACTATATATAAGAGAGGGTTGGTATCAGGTATTTTTGGGGAAATTTAGATCAAATAAAATAATTCATATTGTTTAAAGATGCATTATATAAGAGCTGGTCGATCTTGCTATAGTAGTTAAAAAAAATTATATATATATTGAAAAATGAATATATATTGAAAAATGAATATATATTAAAAAAAATGAATAAGCATATAATATATTGAAAAGGGAATATATATTGAAAAAGGAATGAATATATTGAAAAATGAATATATATTGAAAAATGATTATATATTGAAAAATGAATATATTGAACATTTCATTCAAATTACTTCATTCTGGTCGAAGTTATGACTGTTTGAAGATGTAGCATAGATCGTTTATTATCGCATCAACGGTACTGGACAACCGTGACTATGTCTCGATCATCCATTTTATCGTTAAAGTTTTAAATCTCGGTCATCCGATTGTCTAAAGAGGTGATTTTAGGCTTGTCATGTGACTTAATGTCTTAATTATAATTTATAAAAGATTTGAAGCGAGGCAAAAGACTTAATGCATCTTTAACTGATTGAAAGAGTATAACGTGGGTTCCTAAAACTTGAAGAGTGTTAATTTTAAGGTGTATAATATTTAAGGATGACCGAGATGTTAATAGTACGCAAGGAATTCCAATGTTTATTACGTTAGATAAAAAAAAAACATACTATACACACAAATAAAAATACATTTCAAATAAGGACGTCCATAGTAAATCATATTTACACACAAAAAAGAATACATTTCAAATAAGGACTTCCAGATCGGTTATGATGCGTTATGTATAGGGCTGCCAAAATACATAGTAAATCCTATTTACCCTCTCTCTATTGATGTATGAGCATATCATTCTTTATGTACTAGTATGCAGTTGGTGTAATTTAAATATAATATGCGATATCAAATTTTGTTTTATATTATCAATCTCACCATCAAAATATATTCGAAATAACCATCACTAAGTGTAAAGTCTTTCTTCAGTATTCCGGTTGGTGCAGAAAAGTAGGACGTTAAAGATGCATTATGTAAGATTCAGATAAAAGGTGGTCGTTCTTGCTATAATAGTTCATAAAAAGATAATGAAAAATGAATATATTGAAAATGTCTTTATTCTGAGCGAAGTTACGACTCTTTGCAGATATAGCGTAGATGGTTCATTAACATTAATTTGTACTTGGCAATCGAGTCTTGGCCAAGATTGTCCATTTTATCGGTACTTTTCTTAATCTCGCGGATATTTAAATCCATTTAAAGACAAATTGTGCATACAATCTATTTTAACGCACAGGTGCCTGTAACATGGATAATCTCTTTCAAAAATAAGATTAAACTATGGCTAAGTATTAATATAATACTAGTTATTTTTCCCGGCATTTGATAGTCTCGCTTACGAACATGAATGTAATAGGCGCCCGTGATTTCAACATGCAAAATGTAACTGTTTATCTAAAATCTTGTCCAATCGAAAATTACTTTTTTAACCAACCGACCAAAAACAACAAAAGCGTAAAATGCCACTTTAAAACTTAAACGGTGGCTTTTATAGTGTTTGATTTTGATAAATACATTTAACTCAATCTACTTTCTAAAAATAGGGACCACGGAAAAACACTTTATTATATAACCCCCAGTATAAGGCAGGATGTAGATAAAATGACCCGAACCCAGTGAAGCGTGGAATTAAATAATGAGAAATAATAATTCAGATGAAACTTTAAAGTATGTCATACATACTTGCAAGTTATATTTTTAAAATGTATTGAAATAAAGCCTTAAAATAGATGGTATCCATAAACAGTCCTACCTTGTTAAAGAATAATCCTATTAATCCTATAATTCGCTATTGCCAGCTGAGAAATTGGCAAAAATATCATTTTAACTTCAAATTCCAACGTTGGAAAATGGCTTCCCCATGTTGTCAATAGCAAAACAGGGGAGGTAATTGTGTTGTTATTTCCTGTGTCATAGATTTTTAAGGGTGGGAAATAATGCCCATGATCGTATAATAGTGATTTGATAACCTATTGAGCAAAAGACAGAAATAATTATGTTTTGACTTTCTTAGAAAATTTGAAATTCTCGCTTTAATAACAAATTAGTTTATTTTGAAAGTGGCCTGTCTAAATCACAAAACTCCACATACACTAGCGAATTCGCTAGAGACGTTTTCTGTTGCTCTGTGTTAGAAAAAAAACCGGTTTAATTGGGTTTTTGTATAATGCTTTACATATTGTCACCAATGAAGATTTGGTGGGCTTGCAGAGGTATCTTGTCCCTTAGAGCATAGTCGTACCAACACACACACACACACACCCCCACACCGACGTCGGGCAAAAAAGTATTTTCGGGCGATCATCTAATTTTTCACACGCATTTCATGTAACTGTCCCTTGATGACTTGCAACTTTGTATTCATGGATCTACAGGGTATCAAATATTTTAATTTGTCATTTCATAACAGTAGACGATTCTATATTTGGACAAACATGTGATACGTAACGGCTATCGTGACCTTGGTGGTAGCCTGAAAAATAAACCTGCCACAAAGACTGCCAATCATGTGGAACGGAGGTAGAAACCCATTAAAGCAAGCAAATTAATGGATATTTATTTCTCTTGAATGCCTTTGTTAACCTCCATCCCATAAATTCGAGAGACCTATACATTTTCATTAAGTCCATTAATGAAGCCCATCTTGAAATAGACCTTTTCTACAAAGATTAAAAATAAATAACATCCAAGTACAAATACGGATAAGACACATTACATGTAGATGTTTTCTATGGATTTTTATATAAGAATTGTTTAAAAGGGTCAGTTAATAACTCAACTTATTCGGCAATAACACTTTATTTACGTATCAGGGTATTGCTTATCCAATAAATAGATTCAAATTTGTTTTACAATTTCGAGTGACTGTGATCTGAATGTTCCATTCTCGAAATTGGCCTATAGAATAAATTTTAAAGTTCTCTAATCCCTATTCAAATTCCTACAAAGTCTAGCCATTGCTTAACATGACAAGATTATATACTAACAAACTAAAGGCAACACAGTTGTCAATGTCCAAACGTGACACGATTACAATCCCGTTTTCTACAAACACGTCGTGATTATATAAACACAATAAGATTATGCACAGAAATAATACACCCCTGTTCTCACATAATAATTACAGATTATCGATAAATTGTACAGACAACTTGATAGTTCAGCTCAATAACTACTACACTTTCTTGTCAATTAACCGTCAGACAGTGGAACCTTCCAGTCAATGAACCACTGGACAATGGATCATTCCTGCAAATGAACCGCCGGACTATTGATCAATTAACCGACAGACGACACTCGTGACTATTGAAGGTTCCGAGAAATAATCCTTCAAAATATTAAACCTACGTAACGCAGAGCAGTCGCCGTTTGATCACCTTCCAGAAGATAAACTTGAACGAAAACTATATTGTTGGTGTGGGGTGTTTTTATTACTAGTTTTTAAAATTCATGATACTTTCTACTAAGTTCACATTACCAAAGTAGTATTTTCTTTATAGAATCAAACTATGATTAAATGTCAAACTTTAATATCCATGATAAAACATGTTCTTGCCTATATGTAAACAAAACGCTTCTCATTCAAAATTAATTAAACACCAAACCATGTCACATATGCAGAAACTAGCATACGGCTTATTTATAATGCATTACAATTCTTCGATCGAACTCAGGGGGTCGTAAAATTGTATATTTCAAAAAAGAATAACAAAGGAGTCATATTGATAAAACACAGGTCCTACATCATGGAAGCTAAAACATCTCACGGCTCAAAATATAATCGTTTTCCTTTCAAACTCTTTAATATTTATTGCCCATAAGTTTTATATTCTTATTTCATAAACATATATACGAAAATATTGAACTTACCAATGTCACGTCTGCTATATAATCCCTGATATGCCTAAAAGATTACAAGCCACTTGTTTATGTCAGGTCCCGAAACAGTGTGACCTATTTTTGGCTGTATTTTTGTCCTATATATATTTCACAGGTACGTCACATGTAATTACCATTACTCCACAATAATTACGGCTCGCTTCGCCTCCGCTAACATTTGTACATATAATCAATGAAATATAATTCCAAAAAACCTATAGTTTACATTTGAGTTTAATAATACCTGTTCACATACCAACAATGAAAGACTATTTATGTCACCTGGTCAGTCAACCGAATCAAAGAACGGTTTACAGTAAGGTGCTTTGTTAACTGAAGTAACCCACTATTACGTAATTTCAAGATGAAGAAAGAGGGAGTTCACGGTTCCTTTCCTCTTTAAAAATAAATTAAGTGCACTTTAAATGTTTTTGGTTGTTATTTTACGAGTATGGTCGTGCTGTGTTGTCAAATAAAATGAAATGTAGTTTAATGCTAGGTTCCCACTGTCGTGCAGTACGTTACAAGATTGTCCCTTTGAGTCCACGATCAGGTGCATGCTGATGCGTTCGGATACGTTTCGATACGATCAACACGAATGCTACGACTGACCTCAATATATGATAAGACCTGATGGGATCACCACAATTACTCCACCATTAAAACCACGATTCCAACCGTAGCGCGCATCGTGATAGTGGGAACCTAGCATATAACGTCTTACTTTTCTGCAGCGACACGACCACAGGACTTATGACGACCGGCTATGCCTGAAAAGTGGAAAATTTGTCGTAAATTGTAAAAGTATTCTTCATTTAATGCCTCGAGAACGTGAATTTAAATTCCGTAATTTAATGTTCCATTGCGGGTTTTCTATTTATGCATTTAACAAAAAGGCGGTCAAATGCCACTTATTTGTCACATAAATTGAAATCTATTAAAGATACATTATGGGAGATTCGGTAACGAGTTGGCAGTTCGCACTATAATAGTTAAAACTAGATAATGTAAAGGCAATTTGGTGAAAATTTCATTCAAATTGATCCACTATGAACCGAGAACTAAGCGACTGAAATTCCCATAAGCCTCTGTCATCATTACTAAAGTCAGTACGATAAACAGCATTGTCTCGATTATCCATTTAATCGTTTAATCGAGAAGGAAAGATATGCAGTAAATCGGTTTACAATCCACTAAAGATCGCAGGCTAGCGCTGCCATCTAGAGTTGATTATGGCTTGGATAGGCTAATTAATGTCTAATTAATAATTCAGAGAACATTTCGGGCCTAAAGAAAGACCTGAATTTGCAGATTTAGCCCTTGCATAATGTATGTTTAATTACAGATTTAGCTCTTGCATAATGTATGTTTAATTGTAGGGCTAAAAATATATTACAGACATAAACTAAGTTGACCCTAAAGAATCAAACAACGACTTCTTTATGCTCCTTTGACGTAACTATGGCGTTATATCAAAGATATCTGCATTAAACTCTATATTAATTTAGTCTTCATTTTGACATGCCATGGCTTTAAACTTCTAATAAACAGTGACACGCCACAACCAATAAAAATAAATAACAAAATTAACGTCAATTAAGACCTTTAACACTGTGAAAAATATAATTCACCAACTACCAAATGTCTATATGAATATAAAACTCTTTAACTACGTGAACCTGCAAGAAGACAGTGTCTCTAAAATATAAGTCGAGTAACAAGGTATCTGGTGGCCACGGTCAAGTATTTAAAAATTAATGTTCTTTAGTGTACGAATGTAACAGATAATTTGGCTTTAACAGTCATCCAGTCCAAATCATCCCTTGTCAATCAATCTATATATTAGTAACTTAGTCCCCTGCACTTACTATTATATCTCTCGCGTTTGCTAATATGTCATCTTCTTACCAACTTCCTAATTCTTATAAATCTCAGTCGTCCAGTAGACAACATTAAAAGAAATTAAATGCTGAACAACCGGGCGGTGGGTTATCGGACTAAATGACCATACGACTTTAGCGAGGCTTAAAATGGCCACAGTTAAAGGACAATATTGGTGTCAGTCATTATCACATATGTGATAGAACTAATTAAACACGTTCCAAATATAATTTTAACACGGAGATCATTGCTACGATAGCTGAGTCATACAGGTTTCCTGAAACGGAAGTGACGAACGCCAAAGGGAAACACGAGTCATCCCTCTATATAACTGACTGAAGTGACGAGTGATAACAGACAGAGATAGAGAGGGAGAGAGAGAAAGAGATAAATGGGGATTAACGTCCACACGACACAAACTAGGTCATTCCGGGACTAACATATGGTTCAATCAATTTCAATAATTCACTTGCAAGTAGGGGACTTAAGCAGTGGGAGGAACTCGGGGACGCGGAGTAGAAATTCCCCGAGGATGGACAGGCGACACTACTCCTTGTCACGTACAATTGGGGAAACCAAACCACTTGACTCAATGACAGATCTTATGATACAACGCACACGCGTTAACCATGAGGCCACCCAACCCCCAAACCTTGATAATAGTATTATTGATAAATTCACACGTGCTGGTGATAATGACTATATTTATTTGTCATAATTGGTATGATTAATTACATCCTCTCGTTTGTATACTTTAAACATCTGCAAATTATGTTTGTCATAAACTGGTAGGATTAATTACTTCCCCTTGTTTCATATTTTAAAACATCTCCAAATATTGCTCATAAAAAACGGAATTTCACATTATTAACTCACACACTGACAACTTAATTTTATTATCAAATTGTAATCTAATAATGTAATTAAATGTATTTGTAATATAAAGCTTTCACACTATTTGTATTTGTGTATTTAGGTAATCTAACTAAAGTAGCTAAGTCTCTAACTCAATAGCAATCCACAGTTTTCGACATTGAAAACACGAATTATTTGTCAATTTAAATCAAAATTAATGGCGTGATCTCACCGGAATTGATTAAAAAAAAGAATAATTGTTAATTTAAATCAACATTGATGTTGTAATTTTACCGGAAATGATAGGTTTCTTATATTCAATATTCAAGACAAAATAAACATTTTACTATTGGTACACGAATCGTGTACAAAAATACGATTCAGTGCCATTTGTTACAAGTGATTCGAAGAACGAGGCTAGAAATATTCCACAAGTCAAACAGTGACGCCATGGTCTATCTGGGGAACATGCGCAAGAAATACTACCGGTGAAGACTGGAATAACCAGACGCTAGAGTCTAGCCTAGATATTGCCATTCGATTGAGATCCCGCGTATTTCGCCGAACATAACTGATTTGAAATTAGAGTAAAAACGGAAACGACTGAATGTAAATCAATTTATATACATTCATATTACATTATTATATGCGTTGCGACCCGACTGTGTCAATTTCTAGGTCCCCAAATATTAGCGATTTAGCTCCTTTAAAATACTAAGCTAGCGGTAAGCATTAAAAACAATGAAATATGACAAACAGAAAATAAATAAACTTCAAGGATTTTTTTTTTCACGAATCGTGATCATGAATTAATTCTAATATTATCAATATGAAATATAAGTTAAGATTGTTGAGTGTCATTAACGCCATCATCAAACTTCATTATTCCTTTAGTTATTTATTACTTGTAATTCGAGAAAAGCATGGTTGTACAGAGACTTCCGTAATCGTCGCCTAGCTACTTGTAATGTTTATTTGACTAGATTTGGATATTGATATCGAATAAGATCATGATGAAAATTTGAGAATCTGATAATCTATTGACAAGATATTAAGATTTTGTTTATATTTTATAGATCCAGGTTACCTGCGTGTAAAGTAGAAGAGGGGTTCTATATCTGTTTCCGTGACCTAGTGTTTGGCATACATTTTATATTTTTGAGCATATCTTAGAAACTGTCCAATAAAGACATCTTTACACAAATTGATATATTATGGTAGTTACGTGTATGGGAGCAACGGTGGCTCAGTAAATAAGACGTTGGTTCGCTAACCTGGCTGGAGGTCCCGTGTTCGATCATTGTCAGTGACAGTGGCATGGGACAATGTAGTCGTTCGGATGGTGCGAAAAACTGTGGCCTCGTGTACACATTAGCAAGATGCTTCTTGTACGACACAGGAAGTCTACGTTCCTGAAGCAACGACCGCTAGTTTTACAACATCTAGACGTTGCTAGATTGGTCTGCCATTCCCGAACTTATAGTTACGCTATTTCCCTTTAACGCAGACGCGTGAACGATTGTGTTCAATCGGTCTCCACGGAAACATTGACATTGAACGAACCTTGAACTTTGCAAGAAATTTTTAGCTATAAAGCGCGAGACTTATTCGCGATGATCGAGGAGTCTGATAGGCTCCCCAGCTAAGTCAGTACCCAATCGAAATTAGTGCCGAACTATGCATGGTATTACTTGACGGGCTTGATAAGATGCATGAGGTTAAAGACAGATCAAGCCTTATATTGAAGATGCAGGAAATCCAACCAGGACAGTATATACCTCCGGTTCCAGTGTCCTCACTTCACTGCTGGTTTTAAATATGCCATAATTCAGCACAAAACGTAATTAACGGGATCTTAAAGGACAATATTGGTGTCAGTCATATTATGTGATAGAACTGGTTAAACACGTTCCAAATATAATTTTAACACAGAGATCATTGCTACGATAGATGCGTAATCAAGGTTTCAACAATCGGAAGTGACGAACGCAAAAGCAAAACACGAGTTATTCTTCTATATAACTGACTGAAGTGACGAGTGATAACAGATACATGGGCGAATTTCTGCTCACTAATAATTCCTTCGAAGACCAAAAATTGTTATATAAGACTGTAAGAAGATATCTGACAATTCATAAAAAGTAACTGAATGCCATTAGATTAGAGAACAGGAGAAAAATAGAAATAGTCCGTACATTTCCTTGTTTTTATTTATTCTATACTTAATAAAAACATGGTAATGCGCGGACTTATCTTTCAACGACAGTCAATTATTTTAATGAATTGTCAGATATCCTCGTGGGCCCCTAAAAAAGTAAATGTTCCGGGATATTGTAGTTTTTGATAATTTAGTAAGATTATAAGAAATTACCATTTACAGTCAGTTTTTCACCCCACCCCCACCCCCACCCAACGAACCCAGTCAAAGCCACAAGGGGGCGTATAACTATATGTAATTAGATGACAAGGTCTTACTGTTGAACAAAACAT